TGTGTTACTTCGCATTCGTGCTCTCCCTAAGGGTAGGATAGGGCTTAGTCCCTTCGAAATTATGTTTGGAAGAGCATGGCCTATGAATGGTACCCCAGTTCTGGCAGGGGAATGGGAAGTGGGGTGTGGTTTCTTGTCTCAGTATATGTGCTCTCTGTCTGCTGTTCTTTCTTCTCTTCACAGGTACACCAAAGATTCACAGCCTCTTCTGCTGAATACTCCGGTCAACTCCCTGCAGCCTGGTGACTCCGTTCTCGTGCGGACCTGGAAGGACAAGCCTCTCCAAGAGAAGTGGAAGGGACCCCTCACCGTCCTGCTTGTTTCCCATACAGCGGCAAAGGTCGAAGGACACAAGAACTGGATTCATCACTCTCGACTGAAAGCAGTGCCCATTCCTAAACAATGGACTGTCCAGCCTGCGGAGAAGACTGCTAACGACGATTTGGGACTTAAGCTGTTATTCAAAAGACAGTAAGGGTCACTGGGAATGCGTTGTGATCTTTCTGAACAGTCACAGCATACTCCCCGCGAAAACCCTAAGCATTGGTTTTATTTTCTCACAGAAGGCGGACCTGCCCTATGTATTTGGTCTTGTTATTTTTTGACTTGTTTAGTGTCAATAATTCTTATTATCTTCTGGGTATTTGGGTTGTGGTAACTACAATATGGGTTTAGGTTTAGGGTCTCTCACAGCATTTCTTTTTATCACAGAGGCAATTCTTCTGTTACCTACTGTTTCACCCACATCGCATGCAGGATGGGGAGCCATCCCTGCAGATATGGCTACCAACACATATGAGGCCCTGAAAATTGCCTTTGCCCGTGAGTTCAATCTCTCCAACTGTTGGATATGTGCCCAGACTCCCCATCATTCAGCGGGATTGCCCTGGAAAGTAGTACCCCAAAATTGGTCAGACTTTTGTCAAAGGTGGATGGTTACTAGCAGTAGCACCTCTGACAATTTAAGTTTGCCAATGATACCCTGGCCATAGAGAAAAGCATAAGTTCTGAGCTGTACCAGCTTCGACTGCTGGCTTTGCAGAACCGACAGGCCCTAGATTATGTGTTAGCCTCATGAGGCGGGGTCTGTGCCCTTATTGAAAAAGAGTATTGTACCTATGTCCCAGAGTTTTCACAGGACATTAACAAGCACATCTTGTCAGCTGAACGGGCCTTTAACCAGTGGAAGGCCCAGGAAGGGGAACCCACTATTTTGGATTCCCTTTGGGGTTGAATACCTGGGTTAGGGGAACTAGGGGATGTAGGGGGAAGCATTGTTCGCATCTTGCTCACAGGTGTGGTGATATGTTTTGTTCTTGTTCTTTTGCTCATTTGCTGTAAAGTGCTCATATGTAAGATTTGTACCTCCCCCTCCCCAGAGGTTCCTTTATACCATCTCATTGATAATCCTGATTGTATGAAGCTTAATCGCATTTTGTCTTTAGAGTATGAGAAAACTCTGACAAAGGTTTGTTGAGTGTTCTCAAAGGAGGGATTGTTGGGGTCCACTAGGCATAGCTACCAGGTAACTCGGGAGAGTGGAAGGCCAAAGTATCAATGAAGCTCTTTTGCTCTGGGCCTATCTGAACCCCCAAGCCCCATCTTGTGAACTCTCACCTACTTCTGTGTTCACTGCTTACAGGCTCTGTAGCAAGCTGGAGCAGAAATGTATTGGTCAGCGTTTCTGGCAGGTGGCTGCAGTTTCACTCACACTAGCAGAAATAATAGAGATAAGGAGCAGGGGTAGTTAGTTTGCAGGCATCTAACCCAAGGTCGCAGAGACGGGGAAAGTTTTCTCACAAGCTTATGTAGAACTTATTGTAACAGTTGTCTGGTAGGGAGGGGTGGGAGAAGTAAGAGGGAGTAACAGAACAAAGGCTTACACAGAAACTGCTTGGGGTATAAAAGGTAAAAGTTATTTGTATTTGTTGCACTGGATTTGAGACATGCTGGTCTCCTAGTGCCATTTCAGAGCTCTGAAATAAACTTGGCTTGCTTTCTCCCCTCGGTGTCTTTATTGGTGCTAAGCACACCGGGCCACGGACCTTTGATGTCCCCTCGAGACCCTTAGGCGGTAACATGTGTGGCAGAATCAGTTTAATAAAAGGTGATTTCTGCAAATTGCTCTTTGTTTATTCTCAGTCACCATTTTCTGGTCAAATCTAAGAATGTCTTCAGTGACGGATATCTGTTGTTTCCATACAGGTTGTCTTACCTCTCTTATTAAGTCCCTGCACTGTCTGGTTAAATGTGCTGTACTGAAAAATCTTGCTGAGTCTGTTAATCATTTTACTACATTCATGTATTTTCCCATTTTGCAATCGTGTACAAGCATACAAGAAAAACTTCTTGACATCGGTGGAAACTTTTACTTTAGCTACGTGTCCACAAATGTGTAATATTATAAAATCAACTTGCCTAACCAGCTATAAGGATCTGAGATTGTGTTTGTTTACAAGGCTCTGAAGTATTTGGAAGAGAACTGAGATGCTGCCATTCTTCTCTCACTCTGAAGAATCCAGATAATACACACTGATGTATTTTTAAATAGTTTGACCCTTTAAATAAGGAGCAGATACCACCAATAAGGAACCAGCTTCAGCCTTGACATATTTTAGAGATTACCAACCAATGAGAATCAACTTTTTTAAGGAAAATAACTGAAAAATACAAGTATAAAACAAGATTAAAACTGATTATTTAAATCAAGGTTTTAAACTAAAGCTGTTCAGATTGCATTCATGGAGCAGTAATGATGACCTCTAGTGGTGAAGACAAGGAGTCAGGTAGCACCTTAGGCCTGGTCTACACTACCCCCCCACTTCGGACTATGGTACGCAAATTCAGCTACGTTAATAACATAGCTGAATTCGAAGTACCTTAGTCCGAACTTACCGCGGGTCCAGACGCGGCAGGAAGGCTCCCCCATCGATGCCGCGTACTCCGCTCGCCGAGCTGGAGTACCGGCGTCGACGGCGAGCACTTCCGGGATCGATTTATCGCGTCTTAACCAGACGCGATAAATCGATCCCAGAACATCGATTGCCTGCTGCCGGACCCTACCGTAAGTGTAGACGTACTCTTAAAGACTAACAGATTTATTTGGGCATAAGCTTTCGTGGGTAAAAACCTCACTTCTTCGGATGCACAATAGTGAAGATTTGTCTATTTTCATGGCTGTTACATCCTAGTGATGAGACTCTCACTTATTGTGGTCAGACGGCTTCTCTAAAAAAGAAATAATATGGGAAGGAAGGGGAAGTAGTCAGAACAGGTTATGCTTAAATAAATCCTGTATCTTCGGACAGATGGCTGTGTGCCCTGGGGACCCTTTCAGCTAGTCCAGGATAGCTGTCTCAAACAGGCCCATCCTAGGAAAGCCCAGCGAGGTGGCAGCCCAACACTGAGCGCACTGCTCTGACTGCAGCGGGGCCCAGGGCATCGGTGCTGAAAGCCATTACACAAAACTATAAACCCTGTAAATGATGGAAAGGACTTCAAATGGTGGGGGGGGAGGCTCACGCACCCCAGCACCAGTGCCGGGTTTACAATGGCATCAGTGGCTCCACTGAGCCGGGCCTATGCTCAGAAGGGGCCCCAGCCTGCTCTGCTTACACTGTGCCCCGAGACCCAGCTGGCTCCCCCACCCACCACTTTCTCCTCTCGGCCGGCCCGCTGGCCAACCAAGGGTTCCTCTCCACTCCCTGGCCCACACCCCTGCTCATCTCTGCCCCCCCGGCCAGACCCCAGTGCACCTCTGCTTCCCACCACCTGTGGGGCCCTGCCTGTCTCCCCAGAGCTGAGCCGCCTGGGACTGGTGTAGAAGCCTGACCAATCTCAGCTGGGGGGGAATGACAGTGGGGCTTGGTTGGGCCCCTTCAGGCAACTGTGTCTTGAGGGATCCTGGCCGGGGCAGGCCCTGGCCTGGCTGATCACGCCACTCCCAAGAGGCTGGAGTAATTCCCAGCACAGGGACCAGCCCTGGCTACGCTGCTGGCTCAGCCCATCGACTCTGGTGAGTGTGGCCAGGAGGCAGGGCATGGGGGAGGAGGTGTCTGGGTGGGGTGTTGGGCTGTGAGGAGGCAGGGAAGATGTGTGTGTTGTGGCACTAGGGAGTGGGGGTTCTGTGTGGGGTGCTGGGCAGTTGTGGGGTGGCTGTGGACGGGGGGGCTGTGGGCAGGGGTGGTTTTGGGCAGGGTGCTTTGCATTTGTGGGGGAGGTCTGGGAGAACACTGGACATAGTGGGTCTGGGGAGGGCCTCTGGCCACAGGGAGGAGTTGGGCGGAGTTATGGGGTGTGTGGCGTGGCACAGAGCCACTTGCCACTGTGCATCTGGCAACTGCTGGTTTGTAAATAGTGCCCTTGCACTGGGCTGGTAGAGCGGGGCCACCCCTGCCATACCATGTCCCGCCCCTTGACGCTGGCTGGACCCAGTCTGGGTATTGACTTCCCTGCGCCATGCTCCCTTGCCTCCATGGGGGCCCACAAAAGGTTAATGCGGCCCTGCCCAGCACCTCTGGCCTGGGGTGCACGGCGAGCAGCACCGCTGGGAAGGAGACGGTGCCTCGGGGAGGGGCTGAGTGCTTGTGGCGCGGGACAAGTAGGCCAGGCCTGTTCGCTGCGTAGGATGCGGGCAGCGCCCAGAGACGTAAGAGGCTCGCGAGGGGGCCGCACTCGCTCCGCTCTGGGAAAGTAACGGCGCCAGCACACGCCCAAGGCGCTGCCCACTGCGTTTGGAACCTTATGGTCGCTGTAACCCCGGTGCATGTTGGGCCCTGTAGTCTCATTGAGCCCAGCTGCATGCCGGGCCTCGTAGGCCCCATGGCGCTGCGTTCTGCTCTATGTGACGCTGCTGGTTGCCGGCGCGGGTAGTGGGCGTGGCGCGAGCCGCTGGAGGGCCGGCCCTCGTGCAGGCCAGTGATGAGCGGTTAAGCCGGCCCCTGCCTGCGCCTCACTGGTTGCCGGCTGGCGAGAGGGTGCCGGGGCGGAGTTTGTTCTTCTCACACCCGTCCCGGCTCCTTGCGGCAAGTTCGCTCCCGGCGTCCGCGCGGAGCAGCTGGGGGAAATGCCCGAAGCCACCCGGCTTGAAGCCAGCAGTGGGGACGAGGCCGAGAGCCCCATGGAGAGCGGGACCGCCCTGGAGAGTAGCAGGCGGAGGAGGCACAAGGTACCGGCGCCTTTTGCGCTGTCAGGCTGTGTGCGGCAGGGTCCCGGCTGCCTCTGGCGAGAACCAGCTTCCCCGGGGTTGCCAGCCTGCCGTCGGGCTGGGCTCGTGGGGCGCAGCGTGGCCAGATTGTGTGGGAGCGGGGCGGCCAGTGCTGTCCCTGCGCGGGATCCCCAGCCTGGCGCTCGCCCAGTGGGGTGGCGGCGCCTCTTGCCCGGGGGATCCCTGGGGCGTCGGCTGGGCGTTGGGCAGCGTTCCCTCCACAGCCCGCTTGTTTCTGTTACCCGGTGGTCGTGCCCCAGCTGACCAGTCCCTCCCGGGCCCCTCCGGCGCTGGTCCCTGGCTGCCGCTGACGGGAGAGGCTTTGCCTTTCCCATGCTCACTCTTTTCTCCTTGTGTCTTTTGCCCTTACCCGTGTAACTTTCCCTTAGCAATGTTGGTATGTAACCCCGTTAGCTGTCCCGAGTGCTTTTAGTGTTATACCCAGGCAGTGTTTTTGTGTGTTGGTGGTATTGTTGTGCAGGAATCGGGGCTTGCATTGCACAGCGATCACTAGAAGTACTAGGACAGTAGAGCCGGATTTGGGATAAAAATCACATTTTTGTCTGTTCATTTCGTACTCTCAGCTCAAAAACCTGTGCTGTGGTATGAATCCTGTAGTCTGTTTTATGACAGACTCTCTTAAGGTTTTTTACTTCTCATATTTTGGTACTGTTTACTGCCAGAAACAGTATACCAAGTCAGGTGTGATATGGTAACCCTATGTTTCTACTTCACACCAAAGTATATGGTCACCTTTTTAAAAAGGATGAAGTATTTTATAGTATCTGTTACAAGTAATCTAAAAAAGGGTAAAATTTTAGGATTAAACCATGATATTGATCTCTTGGAAATTCCTTAATGGGTTGTAAACTACTTTGTAAAAAAATCACATGTATTATGGTTTGAGTTCCAAATGAATGGAAAGTATAAATTCTTTGCAAATAAAATCAGAAAAATGCATGATGGGATTTCCCCCCATAACCTGAATGAGTCTGTTTTCATACATGCCCTTATGCAAAAGCTGCCTCTGATTTTAACTAATATGAAAACAAGTATTTACAGATGGATAGAGAGCAGCCAGTTCCTTTCATTCTTGGAACAATTACATGTTTTTACAATTTCACAAAGCCTTGGGATGGTATGAAAATCTGCAGTTTTATTTTAATTGTGGTTTCTTTGTTTATTACTTAATAGAAAGATAAAAAAGAGAGAGAGTCTAAACACCATGATAAATCCAAGAAGAGGAAATCCCAAACAGAGGAAAATGGGCTGTCTGAAGATGACCTTGAACCTCCCAAACTCAAAAAGATGAAGGGGGGAGAGAGAGTGAATGGAGATACTGGGGAAGGAAGCCCAGAGCACAAGAAGAAATCCTCTTCCCTAAGTAATGAAGTCACCCCCAAAAAAACACAATGTAATTTCAGTGAAGCATCAAGTGAAGAGTGTGACAGCGAACAAGAGCAGGTGCAACTAGACGCTGGGTTTTGCTACAGTTGGGTTCTTCTATTACAGGGGTTGGCAGCCTTTCAGAAGTGGTGTGCTGAGTCTTCATTTATTCACTCTAATTTAAGGTTTCGCATGCCAGTAATACATTTTTATAGAAAGAGACCTTCTAAAAATATTATAATATATAACTAAACTATTGTTGTATGTAAAGTAAATAAGGTTTTAAAAATGTTTAAGAAGCTTCATATAAAAATTAAAATGCAGAACCCCATGGACTGGTGGCCAGGACCCGGGCAGTGTGAGTGCCACTGAAAATCCGCTCGCGTGCCGCCTTTGACACGTGTGCCATAAGTTGCCTACCCCTGCTCTATTACAACATGATTGAGTTTGGAAGAAATTCTCTCTAATAGATTTACTTGTCAACATTTGTTTTTGTGGGTCCTGTGGCACCTTTAAGACTAACAGAAGTATTGGGAGCATAAGCTTTCGTGGGTAAGAACCTCACTGAAGAAGTGAGGTTCTTACCCACAAAAGCTTATGCTCCCAATACTTCTGTTAGTCTTAAAGGTGCCACAGGACCCTCTGTTGCTTTCTACAGATTCAGACTAACACGGCTACCCCTCTGATATTTGTTTTTGTGTAACCAATATAAAGGATATTTAGCTTTTACTTAAATTACAACATGGGCAGCTGCAAAACTTGAAAAGTCTGAATGCTCAAGTTTTGTATTGCATCGTCATACCTCACAGGAAATATATTGGTTTAAAAGTACATAGTAATAACATGTTAAATATGCTGTGTGGAATATAGCAGGATTTAATTTAATGTTAATGACCCACTAACAGGGCTTCCTGACTGAGGCAGTTCAATGCTGTGGGTAATAACTGCAGCCAGGTAGTCCTTTAAGATCCGATATGGATGCAGTTTCCAGGAGTCTATTTTAATTGGTCTATCTTGAATATAATTAACTTTTACAGTAAAGTAAACTTGAGTTGATTCTAGTTGAAAACTACTGCATATATGTATATGCTCTGCTCTAAATGTTTGTGCTTGACTTAGTCCTCCAAAATCCCATGAGAAGAACTAGACTGATTTTAAAAATGAAAAATCTTTACTGCAGGTTAGTTCCCCAAATATACCCAATCATAACAAGAGTTTGTGTTTCTAAATGTAATGTGCTTACTGCTGAAAACCTTCTTTTGGAAACATGGAGAGAAGCAGTAACTCCCATATTCTTTTCTGTTATTTATAGTTTTTTCCTTGCTTGAGTCCCATTTGATGTGAAGTAGCAATAAGGTTAGTGCTCATTAGTCCTCTTGTGGAGAGAGACTGAACCTTCACAGAAAAATAGGCTTGTAAAGTTTTACTTGGTACCCCTCAGAGCCCTGAAGTCCCCCATCCTAGCTTTCTTTCCTCAGAATTCTGTGTTGGAGCCACCATATCATCAAAACTGTATTAAAACTGCATCATAATCTGTGGAAGGCATTAATATTAGTGAAATGTGGTTCACGCGCTTAAGGTTTGAAACTATTGCCATAGCGGTGCACCAGTGGTAGGCTAATCCAGGGAGTAAGAAATGGCTTGGAATCAAACCTGACTTTTGCTTATTGCAGTACAAATCACTATCACTGGGCCACCAGTAACTGTTTTAAAAATAAACATCCTTGAATTAAACTGAACGAGTACTGGAAGCCCTAGTTATGTGTAACTTGTATCCATTGAATTTGTAGTGGCTACAACACAGAATTCTGAGGAAAGAAAGCTAGAATGGGGGACCTGAGGGATCTGTGGAGGTCATCAAGTAAAACATAACAAGCCTACTTTTCTGACTCTGTTCAGTCTCTCTCCACAAGAGGACTAATGAGCACTAACCTTGCTATTTCACATGCATTAGATACAAAAAATGTGACTTCCTAATGTAAGTTTTAAATCCGTTGCATGGAGGTCACACAAGACAGTGGTGTTTAGTAGTTAGAACAAGAGATTGGATTTCAGGACCTTGTGTTGTGGTCCTGATCCTGCTACTGAAAAGCTGACCTTGGGATAAGTCATTTAACCCTTTCTGCCTTAATTTTCTTACCTCTGAAATGCTCAATACTTATGTGCAAAGTATTATTTTTACCTAACAGGAACTGACTGTAGAGCAGAAGGAAGGTGCTTTCTCCAATTTTTGTATTTCCAAAGGGACTATTGAGCTTCTTCGAGGTAACTTTCTTGGCATAATAATTTAATAGTAAAACTGACAGAACAGAAGCATCTTTAATTCTGTTCGTGTTGATTGTGAGGAAAAAGTAGTAATAAGATGTGTCCCCTACCCTTGTGTATGCAAACACTGTTGTCACACTTCTGGTGGAACCCAAATGGCATGGTATCCACATATGTCGTCCTAGTCAGCCCAGCCTTTCTGCTAGGACTTTAACTAACATAAACCCAATATCAAGATACTGTGGCTTAAAATTACTTTATTCCATTTACAGAATAAGAATTAATTCCACTGAAATTGAGCTAAAAGTTCTACAAAAATACTAATGAACAAATTTATAACACAATATTTGTATGTGATATTATAACAGGATCAAGTAATTCATAAACAACTGTTTTAAATCAAACTACTCAAGAGATTGGAGAAATGGGTGGAGATTACTGCATAAATAGGGCAGCATAATTCTTCTTTTGAGGGAAAGTTGCTGGGTAGGAACAGAGTAATCAGTATCTCTGGCAATGCAATGTTAGCAAATTGGGTGAAGTGAGTCCAAGAACCTTATTGAACTGGATTCTGAGACTAAGTAAACTAGAGAAGGTGATATAGTCCTGCTTTTTCTGGGGATAGTGACTAGTCTGCTTGTGATGTTCTGCCATGTTCAAGTTTACACACATCAAGCACCAAATATAATGTACTTATCAGCTCATTGGACCTTTTAACAAAACCGTATTCGACTGTCTCACAGCTCGAGGTGTAACATACCTGTTTCCTGTGCAAGTAAAGACCTTCAAGCACATATATGATGGCAAAGATGTTGTAGCTCAAGCTCGAACTGGAACTGGAAAAACATTCTCTTTTGCCATTCCCTTGATTGAAAAGCTTCAGGGAGAAATGCAGGAGAGGAAAAGAGGCCGCACACCAAAGGTAACTAAATTACTCGATAGCGAACAAATTCTGATGTCACATTTACTGTATTTTTGTCATGGTGGTTCAGGTTTTAAGTCGTCTGTGAAAAAGGATTCTTAAAGTATGTGCCCATGTAGATTCTGCTGTAGGTATGTATGTGCCTGAGGTCCTGTCTCTTGAATAGCAGTGTCAGTTGGGGCCACACATGCTACCTCATGCTCAAGTGTGAGGGGGTAAAGGGTGGAGTGGCTGCAAACATCCTTCGGTTCTTCAAGTGATTGCACATGGGCATTTTATGCTTGGTGTATGTTTTTGTTGTAGGAGCAGCAGTGATCTGTATGCTCTGTATAACCTGTATGCTCAAAAGGTCTGTTACACTTCTCTCCTCCTCCCTCCCCTCCCTCTTTGAATACCTGTGAAGTGGCTTTCCCCCACCCCTCCCTCCTGGAATGCTTGTGGGATGAATGGGCTGCTTAAACAGCTGGAAGATCAGAAGAGCTCCTAGATAGACAAGATGTCTGGGACTCTAATTAGGCAGCACTCACACACCCAATGCATGGACACTGGCTGAGGTGGAGTGTGACCAACCAGACGCAGCCAAGTCATCTCTAGTCGCAGGCCATGAGGAGCAGGTCCTTAAAAGGGGAAGGGGCCATGTGCTCAGGAGTGCACTCATAAGCTTGTACCTCCCATGAAGGCCCTTTGCCCGGACCGCCTGTCCAGGGGTTCGCTGCGTTGCATTTCATCGTGCCTTGGGAAGACTTACCTTCATCACACCGTCTATCGCTGCGCTGTGGGATACTTACCTTAAAGAATCCTGACATCTCCAGTGCCGTGCCTGTCCTGGGAGCGTGAGTATGCGAGTGTGAATGTGACCCCCCCCCCTTCTTTTGAGCTTAGCTATCAGTATAATAAACGTGCTGCTTTCTGCCAAACTCTGGTGGGTCATTAGTCCTCCCTAAGCTTACTAGCTGGCCCAATTTCAGGTCACAGTTTTTACCTCGAGCACTGTTGTCAGAATGTTTCCCTTAGTAGTGCCCATCAGCACAGCACGAGCACTCTCCGCTGCCACGTGCCACTATGTGCAGGTATAAAGGGTGAAGCTGCCCCTGATTCCCCTGAGTTCCTTCTTACTGCCCTTGACAGTTGTTGGAATTTGTCTTGCTTCAGCAAGTTCTTTCAGCATCTAGTTGTGTATATAAGATTCCCAGTCTTAGTTAGTAATAACGTTTTGTTTATTAAAATTAGTTTCTTGGGTCCCCAATTTCGGGGTTCCATTTGTCAGTATTGAGGAATGCCTTAGTGACTGGGCTTCAAGCCCTATATTTCATCTAAACTGATGCCCGTGCGCAACCCACATTCTAGTTTAAAGGTGTCTGGGTGAGTCTCACATTAGTGATTGGTGTGAGATTTGTAATGACTTCAAGCTGAGGACCAAGAAAGTTAGAGAGGTCAGGCTAAAGTTTCTTTTGAGGGAGACCACCTTCAGAGCCTTCGCGGTTGGAGAGGGTGTTCAACACTTGGGCTTCTCTGAGAAGTGCACGTCCGATGTTGGCAGAGTCCTGGCACCGCTCATCCTCTCTGTTGCGCAGGAAGAATCATAAGAGTTCCAAGGAGAGGAAGACAAGCTTTCCCATATTTTCTGCTCCCAGTTGGTGTCTTAATTTTGAATGAAACTAGCTGAATGAACTGAAATGAAGAAAATATTCTCTTTACACCTGCAGAAGTGAATACTGCTGTCAAAAGCTGGTTTAGTGCTTTAACAAATTGCAATTTCACATACTTAGCCTGTGACTTCCACCAGTTCAGTGGTTTGACTTTCTTTAGAAATTCAGCAGCAAATATGTACTGCTTGAATATTTTTAATTTAAAATATTTTAATAGATTGTATTAAGTTTAGGTCTTAACACAGGTTGTCATGTTCTGTGAGATAGTAGTGTCTTTTACAAGCATGTAAAATGATGACTTTGTGATTTGATGAGGCCATAGGAACCCTGAACTGTGCTTAAATGCCATTTCTTTAAACCTGCAACAATTACAATAGAGGTGTAAATATACCGACCTAAATGGAAAACCTATGTGGCTTCTTGGCAGACTCCAAGTGAAGGAACATCTATTTTTAACTCTTTCTTCCTTCTGTGTAGGTGTTAGCTCTTACTCCCACTAGAGAGTTGGCAAACCAGGTAGCCAAAGACTTCAAAGACATCACAAAGACACTCTCAGTGGCTTGTTTTTATGGAGGAACTGCATACAATGGACAAAGTAAGTAAGACTTCTGTCTAATGATTGACCTGCAGATTGATTGGTAACATTTGAAACACTGTTGTCTCTCTCCAAATAAATAATTTTAATCAGAAAGTGAAGACTCTTAAAGAAACTAAGTAGCCTACTCTGTTCATCTGTGCTAGGAAAACAAGAGGATCCTTAGTAAAACACATAGCTGCCTTCCTTATTCCAGGGGTCTTGGACCTCTTCCACATTGACTTGGGTGTTTGAGAGAAAGGAGGACATTTCCTGCTATGTGTATATGAAAACATTGTATTTGGTCCTGTTTCTTGTAAATAACCTTTGTCTTACAAACATCAGCAAAGTAAATCTAAAAGTGGAAGATGTTAAGTCTTAAAGCTGTCGATGGAGATGGCATCTGTGCGAGTAGCTGGATCTCTTACGGAGAGGATCCTTACATCCAAGAGGGTGGAGGAAACATTCTATATTACGGTAATGTTATTAGTTATATCTGGATGGTTGTGAATGCATAACTAGGCTAGGAAGAAGACACTTAATTGTTAATGGATTATGCATCATGGGCATAGCTATTGGGTTTGGCAGAGATGGAGAAGGAATCCTATTTTTCTGTAGGATTTCAGGAAACGGGGTGGTTAAGTGACATTGACAGCAGCATGAAGAAATTTTCAGAGGCAACACTTCTTTAACATTTTTTAATTCAACTTTTTTGTCCCAGTTTGAACTAATGAGCTTTGATAAACTAACAGCTTTATAGTTTAGTTTTCCCAAGCGTCATTTCAGTTTGATTAAAATAAATAATTTGGAAAGAGCCAACTGTTTCTTAACTGCTTAAAAAAATAACTTGTTAACTGACCACTAAACTCTCATTGCCCTTCTCATTCTTATTAGAAAAAATATTTCACAATGCTGAGACCATTGTGGTTCCTGTTTGTCCTTTTATCATTTTTTTCATTCCCCTTCTCTTCTTTTATTTGGGAAATGAACTCTGACATAAAACTTCACAAGCTGTGGCTTCAGTATTTCTCAGCTGTATAAATTTTCTGATCTCTGTTCAACTAGAACATTTATCAGTGCAGTATTGCCAATATAGTGAAAGTGATCCTGTACTTGTAAGCTGCTGCCATTTTCTAAATTCTTCTGCTCTTACGTGTATCTTTACTAATTTTTCTTTTAGTTGATCTAATTCGAAGTGGTATTGACATCTTGGTTGGGACCCCAGGTCGAATCAAAGACCACCTTCAGAATGGCAAGCTGGATCTTTCCAAACTCAAGCATGTTGTCCTGGATGAAGTTGACCAGATGTTGGACATGGGCTTTGCTGAACAAGTGGAGGACATTTTACGAGTTGCGTACAAGAAGGGTAAATTCCGTATTTAAGTGAATAGTAAGGAATATCATTAGTAATTAGACCATTAAAACCCAGGTGGTTGCATATGGTGTTATAACACCATATAAATCAACTGTCTTGTGACAAGATTAGTGGCAGTGAAAACAAATGAGTGCTATGGAAACCTGCTGGGAATGTGTCTAGGTAGTGTACTATGGATCTGGAAATCATTCATAGAATCTTCAGAACCTATAAGATGTCACTCTCCAGGCATGGCCCAAGTCCATCTGCCAATGGCAGGTAGATAACTTTCCCTGGCACTTATCCATAGGCTGAAATGGAAAGTTGGCGCTCCTAAGCAGTGTCAGTGGAGGCTCCCTATGCTTACCCTTTTCAGCATGTTAATGGGGTCTGACCTCTCATCAGGCTAGTACACCTCTACCCCGATATAATGTGACCCGATATAACACAAATTCGGATATAACGCGGTAAAGCAGTGCTCTGGGGGGATGGGGCTGCGCACTCCGGCGGATCAAAGCAAGTTCGATATAACGTGGTTTCACCTATAACGCGGTAAGATTTTTTGGCTCCCGAGGACAGCGTTATATCTGGGTAGAGGTGTATTTAATCTCGAAGATAAACCCTTCCTCTTTTTGATTCAGTTTTTTTCTCCCTGTATCTGTAATTGATCTGGGATTAGGACTGTCAAGCCATCTGGAGTGGCTCACAAACATGGGTGCCAATGTCAAGGCAGACTTACAAACAAGGGCATAAACTGGTTGTGTGTTCTATAATTAGATTTCACCAACCAAGTGTCAAATGTGAACTCTTTAAGCGCCATATAACAGCATTAGCAGTCACTTACTTACCCTAGATCAATTTTACCTTAGATCTCTCAAAAAAGATGACACTTGTAGCCAATCTTGTAATAGACTAACTAAAGATTTATTAACTTACTAATTTTTCTTAGTTATTTATAAGATTAAAGCAGGTAAATATACATACGAATTAGTTAAAGCCTTAGGTTACAAAAAGTAATAGAAGCTGCAGTAATGTACTGCCTCTCCATGTCTTTTAGGGCTAACCCAAGCTAAGTAGCTTGGGGATCTCTTGCTTATACTTAAAATATTTCCCTCTCCAAATTCAAAGCAGCATAATGATACAGTTCCTTCTGGTCAAGGATTTTTAGTCCGATACCCCCAGAGTTCAAACTGTGATGGGAGGAATGTGTGACGGGTTGGACCCCTCCCCCCCCTTCCAGGGTGCCACCTGATGTACTGGGGTTTCACTGGGCCCTCTCATTCCACCAGCCTGGGCTCCCTCACCCTGTCCTGCTGCACGCACACACACAGATAGGGACACACGCAGCTGCAGAATGACACCAATACTGAAATCAGTGCTGCATGGGAAGTCTTTCAGGTAGGGAATTGTCCAGCACTCAAGTGCACATCCCTTCTGGAAAGTAAACCCAAAATTGTATTGTTTTGTGCTGTATAAAGATCTATACAGCGTAAGCTCATGAAATTTGCTCCCTCCCTCAATGTGGAGGAAGATATGCACAGCTTTCCTCCTGCCCCCCCCAGTTATGAATTGCACAAACTGTGTTTTAGAATAAACAAAAAACAAGTTTAACGACAAAAGATTAAGTGATTACAAGGGATAGCAAACAAATCAAAGCAGATTACTGAGCAAATAAAACAAAACATGCAACCTAAACTTAATACACTAAACTAACTGGTTAACAGTAGCAAATTCTGACTCTAAATGTTGTGTTATGCTGGTTGCAGAGTTTCTTCAAGGTAAACTGCACTGCTTTCAGCTAAAACTCCAGGTATTCCTTTCACAGGCTAGACTTTCTTGCCTAGGCGCAGCCCCTGTTTCTCTCCCAGCCCCCTCCAGCTTAGTTACTTTGTTTCTTCAGGTGTTTTCAGCAGTCTTCCTTCTTGGGTAGGGAGGCAGTGGAGAAGAACCTAGATGAACTTACTCCCCAGCCTTAAATAGGATTTGCATATGGCAGGAATCCTTTGTTTCCCAGTTTGACTCCCACCCCCGCTAATGGCAAAATACCAGCAGTCCAAGATGGTGTCCAGTACCAGGTGACATCACATGACCTTGCAGTGTCAAAGCAGCATCCCAGGAAACTTCTCAGGAAGGAGGGAGATTAGCATCTTCAAAGTCCTATTATCCTTCCTAATGGCCCATCTGGGCTGATTGCATACTGTCTGGTGGGCGTTCTCCAAGTGTAAACACTGTTGTAATTGTTACATAGTTAATATTCCTAACTTCAGATACAGAAGTTATACATGCATACAAATAGGATAATCATATTCAGTAAATCATAACCTTTCCACTGATACCTAACATGATGCGTCTTGCATAAAACATTGTGACGTTTCCCTCTGGTGTTATCTGGACCGGTGATCTGCTAGGTCACGCCAATCTTTGACTCTGGGAGCCAGCCTTACCCTGCTCTGCTGTGAGAACCCCCACTCCTCGGCTGTTCACACACAGCCTCTGGCATGTAAGCTGCTCCTTGGATTGTGCAACCGAATGACACTAGCCAATACCTCCAGTCCCAGACGCAACCCTAGGAACCTTAGTCTTGCAGTGTCCAGTTATGCCTGCTGGATGCTGCAAGCTTATATGAATTTGTCAATTTAACAAAGAAATTGATATGTACCAGGCTTGTTATCCCAAGGGGAGCCTCTGACACGCTTCAGACCAAATGCACTGCTTCAAGTAGACTAAACAGATTTATTAACTACAAAGATAAATTTTAGTGCTTATAAGTCAAAACATAACAAGTCAGATTTGGTCAAATGAAATAAAAGCAAAACGCATTCTAAGCTGATCTTAACACTTTCAATGTCCTTACAAACTTAGATGCTTCTTACTACAGGCTGGCTGGTTGCTCTTCAGCCAGGCTCTCCCCTTTGATCAGCGCTTCAGTTGCTTGGTGTGGTGTCTGTAGATGCAGGTGGAAGAGAGAGAGAGCATGGCAAATGTCTCTCCCTTTTATCATATTCTTTCTTCCCCCTTGGCTTTGCCCCCCCCCCACCTTCAGAGTCAGGTGAGCATTACCTCGTTGCAGTCCCAAACTGACCAAAGGAATGGGGGTGACTCCCTCCAGAGTCTAACAGATCCTTTGTTCCTGTGAGGCTGAGTTTGTCCCATACCTGCCCTGATGAGGTGTGAACTGCCGCTCTGCTCTTGGAGAATTTTTGTCTGGGCTTGCTTTAAGCCATGAGGATACATTTTCAGTCTCATAACTATATACATGAAATTATAACCTATAACATTACTGTAACAACAATGTTCAGTGCATCATGAGCCTTCCGAAGACACCCGACATGACAAACTTTGCATTGGATACCACAAAATCATATTATAAGGATGAATATGGGGATGCAGGGTGTTCCCTCGAGGCACAGTGTGTCACAAATATATCTTACGTATGCCATATTCATATAATATCTCTATGAAGAATATGGGCTGTAGGGTCACAGAGGGTTTGTGCACATCCCCTCTTCATAGGTGTGGGGGGGAGCAATCAACAAAATCTTTTGTCCACTGATGTTCCACAATGGTTTGTCTAGTCTCAGTAGGCCTTTTGTTGGGCAGATGATGACACCTCTTGTGGTAAACTAGTATTTCACGCTTGGTAATGCTTCTCTCCTGACTGAATGGGATGGGGGGTTTCTAGTTTCATAGCAAACACTTTTATAGTTACAAAGCAAACACTTAAATATTACCTTATAACAGGGATGGCCAAACTGGCTCGTGAGCTACATGTGGTTCTTTTACCATTAAAGTGTGGCTCACAGAGCTTCCCACTCCTCCCCTGTTCTCCATCTACCAGATTGGGTGGGGGAGCTCAGGACCTCTGCCTTGCAGTGGGGTGGTGAGATAGGGGTTTCTGCCCAGTGGGGAGGAGGGTCTTGGGGCTTCAGCCCCATGGGGTGGACCTGTCGTGGCTTGGGGCTTCAGCAGGAGTGGGGCTAAAGCCCTGAGCTCTGTCAGGTGCTTCCTGCAGAGCTGAAGCCCCGAGCCCTGGCAAGTGTGCCTCGGCTCTTGAACTTCTGAAAATTGTCATATGCAGCTTGGAGGGTCAGTAAGTTTGGCCACCCCGTCTTATAAAATAGTAACAGATAATATAAGTGAGATTAATGCATGCAACAACTCACGAGCATTTCATAAAGTCCAAACACGTTCTTGTCAACTTAACATCTATTTTAACAATGCTAGCACACAGGTGAGCCAGACTGATTTCCAGTTACGCATTTGTCAGTGTTCAGTGACTCCTTGGCATGAGCAGGCACCTAGTCTGCCAGTGTCACAAACGTTACTTTTGTCTTGTGTGGGTGTTACAGCAGCTTTCTGAATGGTACTAGTAGTTGGATCTTGCTAAAGTTGGTTTGCGTTTTGTTTTTTAACTTAAAAGAAAAAGTGGTGCTAATGATGTTTTATGGGTTGGTCTGGTGGCCTGGTAAGCTATAGTCTGCATAAATACATGGAGTTTTTACCTCCCTTCTTGAACAGGACAGCTGCACACTTACTATGAGGGTGGAGGCAAAAACATCTTATGTTGCTCAAAAGAAAAAACTACTTCTACTTTACTGACATGGATCAGTGTTAATACCCAAGGGAGGTATGTTTAACTCTACTCATCTGGAAGTTGGCTCAAAAGTGAGCACTTTCCCAGAATGGTTGGAAAAGAGTACAGCAGTTTAGAGTACTTCTCATCATGAAGACAACACGAATAGAATGTTGTCCATATTTTATATATCTGAAGCTATCACAAGAGTACGTGGGGCAAATTTGGCCTGAATCAACATGCCACTTTAGGATTTTAGATACCAAGATCATAAAACAGATCATTGTGTTTTTAAGATTCTGAAGACAATCCCCAGACATTGTTGTTTTCTGCAACTTGCCCACATTGGGTATATGATGTGGCTAAGAAATACATGAAATCGAGATACGAACAGGTTGACCTCATCGGGAAGAGGACTCAAAAAGCTGCTGTGACTGTAGAAGTAAGTAACTTGGCTAGTGTGGCATATTTTTAGTTCCCTTTTCTCCATGTTATGTATACTTTATTATGGTATGAATTTGAAAATACATCACAAATATATCTTTCTTATTGGTGTAACTTGGAAATATAGTTTGAAATGTAATACTCTTTTGGTACAGAACTTGTTACAACTACTCAAACTATTTGTTGTAAAAGTGGAATGTCTATATTTTCTCCTGAAATAGCTGGTGATCTTACTCATGACTAAAGCAAAGTTAGTTATTGAACACCATTCTCTGTTGTTACCTTGGCTATTTCTGGTCTTAGCATGTTCCTTTACTTTTAACCTCCCCCCTCCTTCCCCTTTGAAGCAGTAGGCTTTTTATTAAATTAGAAATCACCTAGTCTTCTGGCTGGAAATATCTGCTTTCACAGTGCCACTTCAAACACTGCAAGGTGTGCCACCCTATTGAAGACACTCTTTGATATGCATTCAGTTACTACAGTGCTGGACACAGTATAAACACTTAAATATTAAAAACACAAACTAGTTAAAGTGTTCTTTACCTGACGAAGTAGACACTTCCATTTAAACAGTTTATCCTAAAACTTATTTTTGACTGGTCAGTATGGCACAATATGGTTGCTTCAGTAGGACTGAAAAATGCCAAAATCCATTGTCACAAATAATTGACTTTAATTAAACCATTATCTTCAAAATATGGATTGTTTTTATGTAATTTTCCATAAAGCTCTAGTAAATATCTATATCTAAATAAAAAAATAAACTATGGGCGAGGGGGTGGAATTATGTATACCTGACTCTACTTTGTGGAAGATCAGCTCATTGTTGGTTTCTCTCTATGTGGGGAAACTTGTTTGCAACATATCTAATTTTTCATCCTACAACCACACCTTTTTATTCCGTTTTAGTCTAATCATAGTGGGCAAAAAAATCCATATATTTGATTGCTTTGACATATTTTAATAGTATGTCTAATCTAATCACATTCCTCAAAGGATAACATCTTTGTACTTATATTGGAGTCTACATTTTCAAATATATACTAAATATTTTTAAAACCTGACTTTATTTAAGGTTTTTTATGCCAGCTAAATGGTAGAATATTTCTTCAACAGCATTTGGCTATAGAGTGTCACTGGTCTCAAAAAGCAGCAGTTATTGGAGATGTCATTCAGGTTTACAGTGGCAGTCATGGACGGACCATAGTCTTTTGTGAGACCAAAAAGGAGGCAAATGAACTGGCCCTGAATACTTCTATTAAACAGGTATGCCATCTTAGTTATTTTGCAAGATAGTCTGTTGTTTATCAACATGGGGCTGGCATCAGACCCACGCTAACTAAATCTGCACGAGTGTAACGTTCTTTCTATGGGGACAAGGCAAACTTGGGCAGGAGGTAACTGAACTATCACGTGGTTTCAGAATTTTGATATAACAAGATCAGCCCAGAGTCTACAGCAGGGGTGGGCAAACTATGGCCCCGTGGGTCGGGGGCCGCACTAGCGGCTCAGCCCCGCTCTGGCGCTTCAGCCGGGGTGCTGGGTTGGAGGCCGCCCCGCTCCGGCCAGGGTGCTGGGTTGGAGGCCGCACCATGCAGCTCGCCCCCGTTCCGGCACTCCAATGGTGTGGTGCTGCGTGCAGAGCCGCCTGGCCATGACTCCACGTAGGAGCTGGAGAAGGGACGTGCCACTGTTTCTGGGAGCCGCTTGAAGTAAGCGCCGCTTGGAGCCTGCACCCCTGAGCCTCTCCCCACACCCTTGCCCCAGCCCTGATTTTCCCCCCCCTCCCCCCGCTCTCCAAACCCCTTGATCCCAGCCTGGGGCACCCTCCTGCACCCCAAACTCCTCATCCTCAGCCCCACCCCAGAGCCTGAACCCATCTGCACCCCTTCCCGCACTCCTGCCCCAGCCCTGATCCCCTCCAAACCCCTCGGTCCCAGCCCAGAGCACCCTCCTACACCCCAGACTCCTCATCCCCAGCCCTACCCGACAGCCCGCACCCAACCCCAATTTTGTGAGCATTCGTGGCCTGCCATACAATTTCTAGTCCCCGATGTGGCCCTCGGGCCAAAAAGTTTACCCACCCCTAGTCTACAGCATTGTAGACTTAAATGTTGGATTCCCCTATGGTGCTGAAGAGTCTTCCTTAGAGGTTCCGTAGGGGTGGCACCATCCACAGCTGAGCTCCTCATGCTCCAAAGTGAGAGTATAAAGGGAAGAACCCTCCTTTGGTTCCTTCTTAACCTCTGTGGTCAGAGCATTTGTGTTCCTTGTCAACAAAAACTTTTGTACCTAGTGGCACTCCTTTTTGTCACTTGATGCTTAAAATCTTTATTTGGCTTTGTTGTATTTTAAATAAAATTTTTTAGTTCTTAACTTTTTTTTCCAGTCAGCAGGGCATCCATGCCCCACCTGGTACTGAGGGAGCATATGCCAAGGTTCCCAGATTTTAAAACTTGCTCAGGTTGCAGAAAGCTTGTGCTTGTCAGTGACCTTTATTTGTGCAGTCTCAAGTGCTTAGGTGAGACTCACATTAGCGACAGGTGCTCTATTCGTTGTGGTTTCAAGATCAGGACAAAGAAACTAATGGTTGGGTATCTCCATTACATTATGAAGGTGGCTGGCCTTAGACCGGTATTGGAACCCTATTGATCGTCAAGTGAAGTTCTTCTACTCTCTCTTGCAGTGCTTCCTTGGTTTGTCCTACAGACAGGAGCCCTAGGAGATACCTGTCTGTGGTGCTGTCGTCTTTGAGGCCCAAGACTTCCTGGTCTCCAGAAACGCAAGAAAAAGTTGGCGTCGGGCTCTTCGAAGTCCGGTGCGTGGGACTTCTCTACAGACGAATGTTCTGGTACCAATGGTGGAGTGTGCCCTTTGGCTCCCTACTGCCCAATACTGGCTCATACAGAGAGACTTTGAGCCATCTACTCTGGTGCCCTCCCAGAGACCATCGAGACTGGCTCCCTTGGTTGCAACAGAGCAGTCGTTCCTGTTCACAGTGGGACAGCAGCCTATGTCCGTACTGACTAAACCAGAGGTTAATGCCGTTGCATAGGCGCTGACTTACACTGTTCCCAGTGGGTGCTCGGCACCCCCTGGCCCCACCATCGCCCTGCCCCCATCCCACCTCCTTCCCCCAAGTCCCTGCCCCACCTTTTCTTCGCCTCCTCCCCGAGCGTGCCGCATCCCCACTCCTCCCCCCTTCCTCCTGGAAAGTCCTAAGTAGGAAGTGCTGGGAGGTAAGCAGCTAGGCTGCTGGTGGGTGCAGAGCACCCACAAATTTTTCCCTGTGGGTGCTCCAGCCTCAGAGCACCCACGGAGTCGGCGCCTATGTGCCACGGCCAGGGTCTTCTTATGCCTGTCGGTACTGCAGTCACTGTTGCTTCAGGGCAAAGTTCCCTGTCGAGGACTAGTGCAGTTGTCAAGACCCTTTGTACTAGAATGCGCTGGTTTTGGTATTGGCTCTTTCCTCCTGGTTTGGTGCCAGATCCTCCACACCGCATATTACCAGCAGCTAGGAAGCCATCCATGGTTCACCTGATACCGTGCCCCTGATGCAAATATAAATTGAGGTCACAGAAGACCCTTCCCGGTACCATGCCATGCTGCCTTTTGGAATTCCCAGATTCTCCGTCAAGTTTTGAGGGAGGCTTTCTCGGTATTGATACAGAGTTCAGATCTTTCTTCCTGATCTCATTCCTGCACTCACTGGCATGGGTTCAAGAAGACTTCAACCACAGATTGGGACGTTTGGGCCAGTCATGCCTAGGGCCCGGTGCTTCCAGCTTCTAGATTTCACTCACGCTCACACTCACTTCTCGTACTGGTACTGAGACCCCTGACATGGTTGGTATTGATCAGCCTTTGTATGTTCAAGCTCAGGACTTTCCTCACCTTGCTTCAGAGCTGGAGCCTGCCCCAGTACTACAGGATCAACCTTGGGAGCAATCTCCATTGCCTCCCCTTTAGGCATCCTCCTCCTCATCTGAAGAGGCTCTGGTACCAGAGGCATCATCCCTGCTGTGACTTTAAGACATCAGGAGCTTCCCAGGAGAGCAACAGCTTCCCTGGGCATCCAAGCTGAGCTAGTGGAGGAGAATACGTACGAGCTGATCAACATTCTCTATTAACTGTGGCAGGAAAGGCAGCCCCGCCTGTCAATGAAGCCATTTTACAGGCAGCTGAAACATTCTGGCAAACCCATTTCTCCATTCTATTTGTGGCCAAACAAATGGAACATAAATGCCAGGTTTCATCCCAGCAGTTTGAATGTTTTTTTTATTTACATTCTACATGTGGCTCTTTAGTTGTGGCCATGATGAATGAGAGGAGCCAGTAGAGCTGGGCTAAGGCTACCCTCTCCCCCCTCCCCCCCCACCCCCCGAAAACACAGGTGCCAAAAAGCTCATCCTTTCTGGTAGGAAAAACTTATCCTACAGCAAGTGTGCAACTCTGTATTGCCAGTTACCCTGCTGTTTATCTCATTCCTGTTAATTTTCCTTCATTAGCATTTGACTAGTATGCTAATAGACTTCTATTGTAAGATACACAGTGGTAACCTAGGGAGATAGGTGTCTCCCATCTCCTGTCTGAAGGAGTCTGTCTCCACTGGGTGACCTGCCTTTAACTACAAGGCTTTATACCAGAGGTGAGCAAACTACCGCCCGCAGAAGCTAGCCCCCGGCCCCTCCTCCGCTTCCCCCCTCCCCCGCCGCCTCACCTCACCTCGCCGCCAGCGCTCTGGCCCGCTGCTCCTCCTGGGCAGCGGGGCTGCAAGCTTTTGCTGCTCTGAGCAGCATGGTAAGGGTGGGGGGTTAGATAAGGGGCAGGAGGTCTCCGGGGGCATCAGCGAGCAGGGGGCGGTTGAATGGGGCGGAGGTTCAGGGGTGGGGGCAGTCAGGGGACAGGGAGAAGGGGTTGAATAGGGGGTGGGGTCCCAGGAGGGGGTGGTCAGGGGACAAGGAGCAGGGGGTGTTGGATGGGTCGGGGTGGGGGGAGTGGGAAGGGGCGGATAGGGGGCAGGAGCCAGGCTGTTTGGAGAGGCACAGCCTTCCCTACCCAGCCCTCCATACAGTTTCACAAAACTGATGTGACCTTCAGGCCCAAAAGTTTGCCCACCCCTGCCTTATATGCATAATTTCCAGTGTATATGTGCATATGTCTTTATATATTATCTGTGCGTACGTTTTTCAAAGATTATGATGACCAGTGTGACATAGACTTTCAGTACAAACCTCATGTGACAGTCCTTGGTGAACTAGAATGTAAATACCAGACCCAGGGGCCCCTCTAACCCTTATGCATCCCTGCACCCTCTCCCAGCTGGCATCAAGAGGTCCTTGAGTCAGTGAGTGCATCTGGTGGCTATTTGAGCGATCCAGCCTCGCATAGACAGAGTGAGTGAAATTAGTCTTACTATCACAACCAGATGTCTGAAAGGTCTAGATAGATTGTTTCTACCTGCCAGGAACTTAACTCCTTCTTGAGATTACAGTTTAGCATTATCTGCTCGGTTGGACACTCCTTTTGAACCTTTAGCATTGTGCACGCTTCTACACCTGGTAGGTAGTTTTCTTAGTAGCCATTGTTTCTACTAGGAGAGTGGGATAACTGAGTGCATTGGTCACTGATCTGCCATACTCACCTTCTACAAGGACAATGTTCAACTTAGACCACATGTAAATTTCTCTTGAAAGTAGTATCTAATTTCCATCTGAAGCAGACTGTATAGCTGCCAGTTTTCTTCCCAAAGCCACATACTCACAAGGATTAGTGAAGGCTTCACCCCCCTGGATGTTCATTGAGATCTGGCTTTTCACTTGGATAGGACAAAGCCCTTTTGAGTTTCTTATGCAGTGTATGAAAGTTCAATCAGTCACTATTCAGACTCTCAACCAGCTGCATCTCAGTATTATGCTTTTAGAGGGAGCCTCCTGGTGAACTCATGGCATGCTCAACCAGAGCACATTTTGGCCTTGGCAGCAATTGTGGCACATGTCCTGATTATAGGCATACATAGGGTGGCAAAGTGGTCTTCTGTTCATATATTCACCAGATAGTAGGGCCAGTGGTCCTGCAGTCAAGTCGCTTTTTCAATTAGACGCCGAGCTCCACTGCCTGGGATAACACTTGGGAGTCACCTACAGTGTAATGGACATACGCAAGTACTTGAATTAAAAACAGTTACTCACCTTGTAACTGTTGTTCGAGATGTCACATATATTCATTATACATTATATTCTTCCCTGCATTGGAGTCTACCAATGGCTTCTAGTGTGAAGAAGCTGAAAGAGGAGTTCTGCAGGTTATGCTCTGAAGTCAGGGTATGAGGAACTTGGCAGTGGATGGGGCTGCCACTATGCATACCAGTAAGGAAAACTCTGACACTGGTGCACAGGCCATGCACATACGTACATCTGCAACACATTTTGAAGAAGATGAGTAACTTCTTTTATGACAACAGTGAAGGTTCTGATGCATCTTTTGGAAGGTGATTTGTAGTCATGGGAGTTACTCTGACGGCGGTTCGTAGTGTGGTTAACGTACTATGACACTAGCACAGAATACTGGTTTCAGTGAATGACTGGGATGCACCTCTTGTAAGAAGTGTCAGTTACTAGGGGTTACTTCTGTTTTGTTACTTTAGTTATTAATTACTAGGGGTTAATTTGTTTTATTACATTCATTATTTATTAACTGTTTCATGAGGAATTTGAAATAAACTTAATTTAAATCTGTATTGGGGCGTGAAAAAAGGGGGGTTCTCAGACTTTCTAGCGTCACAGAATAGAGGTCTTCAGTTCTTATTTCTGAGACTCAAGCCACAGCACTTGCTAAGTCTGCAGAGAAATGAAGATAGTTGATTTTAGTGCTAATACTAGCATTTGAGATACTGGTGCATCAGCAAATCACCCTGACATTAGTGATGAGTGCTGGTATTGCAGTAAATCCCTTGGTGGTAAATATCATCCTAGTACAACTCCAATCTGCATGGTATTGATTTTAATAATTGATTCAATCAGATCCATTACAGCATGAATAGAAAGTAGTATGGCATTCTACTTTTTGGGGGGAACTGAGAAGCTTTTACCTGCTACACCTGTGTTCAGGAGTGTTTTTCTCCTGCACTATTAGATGATCTCACTAACAGCTAAACCTGAGCATGGAGCCTTTTCCTGCATTCTGTTGGTGTTAGTGATATCACCTGTTGCATGGGAAATGCAGAACTCTGATCTTGGCAGGTAAGAGAAAAAAATATTTCCAGCTGTTTTTGTTTTAGTATCTTAATATATCAACTTGCTGGAGGAATACATACCCATACCCTCTACAAAGCAGCATCAATCTGAAATGTAATCATTTTAAAAGAATTTAGGTCCTATAGCGGCCCCTAAGTCCTTATCCAGTTTGTGGTTTATAATCCTTCTCTGTTCCTGTGTGGAAGACAAAAAGAAAACTGAGGCTACGTCTACACTTAAAAACATGGAAGCAGCACAGCATTGCAGCTGTGTCACTGTCGTGCTTCAGTGTAGATACTTACTACAGTGATGAGAGGGTTCTTCAGTCAACGTAGTAAATCTGTCCCCCTAACTGACTGTTGCTCAGCAGTGTGGATTTTTCACACCCCTGAGTGATGTAGCTGGATCAGTGTAACTTTCTGGTGTAGACCAGCCCTGACTATACATAAAATAAAGAAACAATATTCTCTAATCTTTCAGTTATGTTAATTTTGGGAGTTTGTAATAATAGGTAAAGAAACTTTCAGGCAGATGTGTGGGTGTCTAAAAGATTATTTTTAAACTCTTTTTTTTACTCATTTTTTTAAAAATCATTTTTATATTTTAAGAATTACTGGTACTTTTGCCCTTGCTGCTTTTGAAGGGAGCATAGGTTGTGTATCTTTCTAGCAAAAGGCAGCTAAATGACATTGATGATATAGTGGCACAATAGTGTGAATAGAACTGCATTAGAGGTAGCTTTTATTTTGGGACGTCAACAAAGTCTGTTGGATAGGGCACTGAATTGGAAGCTGGGACAGGGTTCTAGATCTAGCTCTGACACTGACTCTGTGTGGTTGTGGCAAGATACCTGTTGCTTCCATTTCCTAATCTGTAAAATGGGAATAATGCTTTCCTACCTTTTGTAAAGCACTTTGGGCTATAAAGGTAAAAAGCACTGTATAAAAGCTAAGTATTGACATAATTTTTTGCCATGTAAACTAAAATATTTCAGTTTTTCAGTATCCTTCCTATAGTGTGGTGCCTTTTATACACACTCATAATAATCTTGTTTTACAGGATTGCCAGTCGCTGCATGGTGACATTCCTCAGAAACAAAGGGAGATAACATTGAAAGGTTTTAGAAATGGAGTGTTTAAAGTTCTGGTTGCAACTAATGTAGCTGCCCGTGGTTTAGATATCCCTGAAGTTGACCTAGTTGTACAAAGTTCACCACCGAAGGTAGGAAATGGGTATGTTGTGTCTCTTTTGTAATATATACAGTAGTCCTCTATTTGTTTTCATGTGATTGATAAAGTAGCATTGAATTGTGGTATTCACCACACACACAATTCTTATTATAGTTTTGCAGTAAGGAAGCTTATGGTAACCAGAGGTAGTCTCCTGATCAGAATACTACTTAGGATGCATCAGTTGTAGAGTCCAAGGTACCTTTAGGGGTGTTTCCTTTTAAAATGCCTTCTGATGAGCTCTGGCAAGGCTCTAGCTCTGTTTGATGTATTAACTGTTGAGCAAAGTTGACTAAAATCCTGCCCTCCAAAGCAGTGTATGGTGGTAAATTTGAAAAGAATTTGGAGAGGCAGTAGAATAGAATGGCTAGCAAGAGCAACATAATTGGGTGGGAAGAAGAGCCCAGTGGAGAGAGAGAACTCTGAATGAAGTTAGGCGAATACAGACAAAACCTAGGTTTATTCAACGTAGCTGGGGACATGCTGACTTCTCATCCTGTACACTGTGGTAAAAGTGATATGTGTGGTATTTAGCTATACGTGGAATTGCACAAGAGCAAATTGAAACCTTTGCTTGAATTCCCTATGATGATAGAAGCATAGTGGCACATAGTTGGCCCGGGCTTGTAACTTAAGCTCTGAGCAATATTTAACCTAGGTTTATGGGGATCTTTTTTACCTAGTTTGACTTAATTCATTAAAAATAAAAATTAATTTCTCAGATACAATTTATTATAATATATCTCAAAACACTAATGTAATAGCTTCCATGGACCTTTGTGTGTACACTAAATTGACTGACTACAAAAGTATTTTTCTTGAAGGATGTGGAGTCGTATATTCATCGTTCTGGACGCACAGGCCGAGCTGGACGGACTGGGATGTGTATCTGTTTTTATCAGCGAAAGGAAGAAAGTCAGCTAAGACATGTGGAACAAAAAGCAGTACAGTATCATTTGAGTCATGTACACTTTGTGTATGTAGTGTGTTAGGATAGCTCAAAATCCTGCAATCCATACGCTATTTGATAATCAGATTGTTATGAAGCATACAGTGAGCACTACCCTCTAACTGAAGTTTAGCTGGTTTCCCCTTTTTCCTCTTACTGGATAATCACTTGTCACCCACATGTGTAATTGGTATATGCTGTTCCACATG